ACATTATCACTTCCCAGGTGTGTGTAGAGTCCACACCCTGCTTTATCTCTCCAGAACTGAGGGCCAAGTCAGTGCCCTGGATCTCCTCCCCACTGGGGATTCCCTGCAGAGCTGGCCTGGGTGATGGGCAGAGATGGCCTAGGTGATGGGCAGAGCCAGTCTGGGTGACAAGCAGAGCTAGCCTGGGTGATGGGAAGAGCCAGCCTAGGTGATGGGCGGTGCCAGTCTGGGTGACAAGCAGAGATGGCCTGGGTGATGGGCAGTGCCAGCTTGTGTGACAGACAGAGCTGACCTGGGTGATGGGCAGAGATGGCCTAGGTGATTGGCAGAGCCGCCCTGGGTGATGGGCAGAGCCGCCCTGGGTGATGGGCAGAGATGGCCTAGGTGACAAGCAGAGATGGCCTGGGTGATGGGCAGAGATGGCCTAGGTGACAAGCAGAGATGGCCTGGGTGATGGGCAGTGCCAGCTTGTGTGACAGACAGAGCTGGCCTGGGTGATGAGCAGAGATGGCCTAGGTGATTGGCAGAGCTGGCCTGGGTGATGGGCAGAGCTGCCCTGGCTGACAGGGACACCCACGAGTCTGCCCTTCCTCTCCCCTCTGTGGAGTTAGCTCGGGCCTTTCTTCCGCAGTGTGAAGCTTTCTGAGTAGACTGTGGGGCTTCTCCTGTGTTGTTCTGCTCCTGAGAAGCTGCCAGGGTTGCTCTGTGGGGGCCTCCCCTATCCTGCTGTCTCGCTGACATCATGCTCTGCACCCTCAGTCTCATGTGAGAAGATACAGATTAGGTTGACACATTGTTGCTGTTTATCTTTTAAACCACTCAATTAAGAATTTAACCAGGAAGCTATATGAAGTTGATAAAAATCAATGAAATAAAAATTGTAAGAAATCCCCCAAAATATAGCACAAAGAAAAGGAAAACAAGTGTGAGAAACAAATAAAGGGCTGTAACTAAGAGGATGAGATGGTCCTACCGGTGCCCAGTCTGAGCCTTCTCTCTGGGGAGAAGGTAGCAGGGTGATGTTCACCAGGAAAAAGGCTGGGAGATTTTTGTAGCTGGCAAAATTCGAGAATCCACAGATTCAGGAAACACAAGTATCAAAAATAAAGAAGAAATTTATATTCCAACACTGCATACAACCACAGCAGAGGCCTGACCAGCGGCCTGTATCAGAAAAGACCTCTCCGGGACCAGCAGGTGCAGGAGAGGCAGGCTGGTCAAA